TTGGGCTTTCGTCTATTGGCAACGATATTGTACAACAAGCCAATGCACTTCGTGAACTCGGCAACCAGGTTGCCGTTTTTTTATTTCCTGTGGCTTTTTTTTTGGCGGTAACCATAATGGTGGTCGAGTAGATCATGTTGTGCGGGGTGGAGAACCCTCACTCCGCGCAAGGGGGATGATCGCACCACGTTGTGTTAAAATGGTCAAGCACCCTCGAGGCAGTTACACAGTGCTTACAACTGTCTCTGGAAGTGAAAGCACCAGAAAATAAATTAAGTCATACGCAGCTGTCATCCGTACGCAAGGAAGTAAGCACAAGATGCCGAAAACCCTTAGCAGGATGCAGCGCACCCTTCATGCGACTCGCCGAATATCTCACGGCGCTTCGCGCTTGGTGATGGGAGAACCTGATCCGTTGAGAACCCGGCGTGCTCCGCCCTGGCTTTGTAGGGATGCGAGGTTAATGGTCTAAGGACTACGGCATGCACGACTATGAGTACACCCCCTCCCGCCCCCCCTCGTATTCACAATGATTTCTAGGTTTTCGGAAACGAGGCTCGCCTCGGCCTGCACTCCAAGAACTTTACCATGGCCGGTCGGATGGCCAATGACGCTGAACTCCTGTTTTGGCGTGATGCACAAGCAACGTGGACCAAGCATCTGAAGAAGGCGAAAGCGGTGTCGTGGAGGAGACTTCACCTCCCGAGCTTCCCAGGACTCCGCGCAAGGGGGGTGATCGCACCACGTTGTGTTAAATTGGTCAAGCACCGTGCAGGCAGTTACACAGTGCTTACCACTGTCTCTGGAAGTGAAAGCACCAGAAAATAAATTAATTCATACGCAGCTGTCATCCGTACGCAAGGAAGTAAGCACAAGATGCCGAACACCCTTAGCAGGATGCAGCGCACCCTTCATGCGAATCGCCGAATATCTCACACCGCTTCGCGCTTGGTGATATGAGAGCCTGGTCCGGTGAGAACCCGGCGTGCTCCGTCCCGGCTTTGTAGGGATGTGAGGTCAATGGTCTAACGACGACGGCATGAACGACTATGAGTACACCCTCCCCCCCCCCTCCCCCGGTGTTTGCCCTCCGGGCTGGGTTTTCGTCGCTTGGCAAAGACGTTGAAAAACAAGCCGCCCCCCTCGGTGTTTGCCATCGGGGTGGGACTTTCGTCGCTTGGCAACGATATTGTATAACAAGCCAATACACTGCGTGAACTCGGCAACCAGGTTACCGTTGTTTTTTTTTCCTGTGGCTTTTTTTGGCGGTAACCATAATGGTGGTCGAGTAGATCATGTTGTGCGGGGTGGAGAACCCTCACTCCGCGCAAGGGGGATGATCGCACCACGTTGTGTTAAAATGGTCAAGCACCCTCGAGGCAGTTACACAGTGCTTACAACTGTCTCTGGAAGTGAAAGCACCAGAAAATAAATTAAGTCATACGCAGCTGTCATCCGTACGCAAGGAAGTAAGCACAAGATGCCGAACACCCTTAGCAGGATGCAGCGCACCCTTCATGCGACTCGCCGAATATCTCACGGCGCTTCGCGCTTGGTGATGTGAGAACCTGATCCCTTGAGAACCCGGCGTGCTCCGTCCCGGCTTTGTAGGGATGCGAGGTCAATGGTCTAACGACTACGGCATGCACGACTATGAGTACACCCCCTCCCGCCCCCCCTCGTATTCACAATGATTTCTAGGTTTTCGGAAACGAGGCTCGCCTCGGCCTGCACTCCAAGAACTTTACCATGGCCGGTCGGATGGCCAATGACGCTGAACTCCTGTTTTGGCGTGATGCACGAGCAACGTGGACCAAGCATCTGGAGAAGGCGAAAGCGGTGTCGTGGAGGAGACTTCACCTCCCGAGCTTCCCCGGCATCGCCCGACTCTTGGCTCTCGAGCAAGAGTCATTGAGGTCGACCGGAACGGGCGAGAAACACGACAAGCTTCGGAGGAGTGGACGGACAGCGGGCAAGTGGGCGTTTGCTCTGACATGCGTTCTCAAGGCCAACTTCTACAAGCGCCTTGAAAACGGTAGCCGCGCGCAGAGGCTCATGCTCCGCCAGCTAAACGCCCTGGACAAGTGGGTTCGCCTTCTATCCCAAGGCGCTTCTCGCGTGGCTAGCCTTTTGATGAGGCTGGAGGGCCTGACGCGCTTCCGGATTTTCACCGAGACACGTGTGCTCATCTGCACCGTTGACAGCACGGAGCGCATGGTAAGAACAATGGAAGAGGGAACACGGGAGGCCGCGATCGCGATCGGGCATGAGCTGGACGCGTCATCGTGCCGGCTCACTCTGGACACAGCTATCATGGACGAGGCGGCATGCGTTCTGGAAGCAGCTGTGCCCGTGCTACTTGCACTAGGAATCAAGAACCTCACTCTTGTCGGTACGGTTTTCGTGTTTCAGTGAATGGTGGCTCTTGGTTTGTGCCCGTGTGTGGGAATATCACGATTTTGAGGTGGACACGTCTACAGTCATTCACAACATATGCAAGAACCACCATTTCCATATCGATATTGATGTTGTAGTGGTTTGGAACCCAGAAATTCACCCGTGCACAAGGTGAACCATGTACAGCACCTACACTGTACCTTAGATCCTGAAGCAGATGCTCTTTGTGATTGAATTTAGGTGACCACCGGCAGCTGCAGCCCTTCTCCCAAGTCCGCGAGAACGAAGCTGGTAAACACCACTCCAGGAGCCTGATGGAGCGTGCTATCGACAGCGGCAGGGCAAACCAGTTCCTCGACCTGCAATACAGAATGCACCCAACACTGTGCCAGGTTTATGCTTTCGTTGATGAGAAGATAGTGCGCTCACGATCCGTTCTCATCCAACAGCCCGACTTGGGGGGAGCGAAGATGCTCCTTGCCGACAAACGACGATTTCAGAGCAAACCAGCACATACATACATTCTTCGATAATATATGCCCTCGACGGTATTACTCGCGCGACAACTCATCTTCCCAACATATTCCTGGCAACCGCGCACAGGTGGTTTCCAGCACATTTTACGACGGCAAGCTCAAGACTGCGGAGGAGCTCCGGCTTACGAGGATGTCCCATCAGCCATGCAAGTGGGTTCACGTCAGCGGTGGCGAGACCAAGCACCAAGGACGGGTGAGTGAAGCGTTTTGGTGCGACCACAATACAATCCTAACTTCTGGCAAGCTATTTCGTGTCATCTCGTGCAACGTCCTAAGACTACCCCGAGTTCTTGATTTTACCGCCTGGTAGAAGAGCACCGAGCTCGCCGTTGCTTCGTGAGCGAAAAACGTATTGATATTCGCGTTCCTCACACACTAGCAGGGCTACTCCAACCACCTGGAGATTCCCAAAGTGGTGGAAGAGGTCAGGGCTTCTATACAACGATACGGTACGGAGGCCGACATCCGCGTCAATACCTTCTACAACATGCAGAAGCGTGATCTCGAGCGGGATTTCAAGCACCAGCCCGACATGAAGCATGTTCGCATCGTATCGGTAGGACATTCACGTGTCTCACACTACTCTCTGCATTTCAAACAGTGGTTCACGTCTTGTGAGGGTGTCACCGACAATGCATCATCATACGAGTGCCCATCAACTGGGGCAGGTACCACTCCTGTTTGCCAGGGCTTCATAGAAGCCGAAAATGAAACCGTTAGACTACAGTAGTCAGCGCTGTATTGCCTATTGCTAGTTTCGGCTTCCATAAAAGATAACCGTGGGTTCGAGACCCAGGCTGGGCACCTTTGGCTGACTAGTCAAATGATTTGATTTCGGCTTCTGTAGCTTGTGGAGGTATGTGCAGACTTCTCACTGGTTGCGTTCAGTCTCCACAAGCAAGGGATCGCTGCCTCTGGGGTGTTGGCCATGAAGTAACGTATTGTGGTATAATTCTGTACCTCAGTGTCGGTCACTTGCGGGCGATGGTAGTACTGTAGAAGAGGCAATTTTCTTTGCTCATTCACACGTGAGGGGTGACGTGG